CTGTACTATCCAACCATGTCTCTGTTATAGTAATTATATCATAAAACGAAGAAGAAAATCTTGCATTAAACTCCAACAACTTGTTTTTCACACTTCTTATATTACAGTAAAATAAACTTAATATTTTACCTGGTTTATCATAACTTGATTTAACTATATTATTTACACTATTAATGGAAGAATTTGAGAAATTGTTTTAACAATATAGTTTCTTTTTTTTGCATCCATATGTATATAAAATCAGTTAGCCTTAATTTACTTTTCTATCACTTTGCATTGTATAGAATTACTGAACTATTGAGAATGCTGTTTTATACTGTAGTTCTTGAGTTGCTGTTTTTTTACATCAATTCATCATCTATCACCCCCATGTATTTCTAAATTAAACAGCTTTTGCTCTGCGACGTACTCTCCGAACCTACTACTCTTGACTGTCAATCATGGAGATTGAAGTCATGTGGAGAGCCTTTCTGACCACTGCTGCAGCTGAGTTGTGAAACTCATTGCCTTTGTTCATTCGTTAATCTCCTTCACTTACCGTTTTTAAAGCCCTATAAAAGACTCAATCAATCAATCAATCAATTCTTTACGAATAACACCTTAAGATCGGTGGCCCACACAGTAGTGGTGCATCCAAAAAAGAAAAAAAAAAACCAGTTTTTACAAACAAAAAGCAAGCTTAAAATACTCAGCATACATAAACACAATTTTGAAATAAAATGTTTTACTTAATGCTAAACAAAACAAAGGACTTAAACTAACACAATTAAAATTCGAACAGACAGGCCAATAAAAATCATAAGCCTGACTCAACTGTCTGTTTCTAATTAATCGTATTGTACAAAACATTACTATTTTATTTCCATGCCAGTGAGTTTTATTAACTTTAATCAGGATAGGAGGCTCCTACCTGTGTCCGAGATGGCCGAGACTCAATAGGTGCTGAGTAGGGTTTACTTAGGTCACAGAAAAGGAATCTTATCTTAGCTTAAATAATTACAAAAATTTAGGATTCGTTAGACACTAATTTATTGGCTCTTTGTCATCCTTTTCTACCTGGCCTTTTCCTACCCACCACTTTGTATCTCACAAAATTTTCATTTTTTTTTTAAATCTTGGGTTAAAGATTATGTGCTTCTAATTTGTTGGTAGTTCACATTTAAACCAGTTGCCATTCTAAATTTCTCTCAAATCCAGTACATTGATTACATGGCCTTGTGTTCAACCGATATCTAAATGGTATTACCTTATTAAGTTCTTTTGTGAAATCTCTCAGGCGGAAACCTTCAATATTGTCAAAAGCTTTTAGAAAGAATGGAACCTCTTCTTTCACTGATGGTTTATCAGTTATCGCAAGAACCAAAATGCGCAAGTAACGAGTGAACGATGTAGTGTCGTCATAGTAATCTTTCATACCTTGAAGCATATTTTCAAGCTCACGGCGCCCTGTGTCTTTTACCATTTTGTCTGACAAACCTAAGCGGTGTATCTTGAATGAATTTTGTAGATTCCCCAAATCTGCCTCTGGACACGTGTATGTCCAGTTCAGTAATTCTGTAACAAGTACGGCATGTTTGTTTGTTGTGCTCAGAAGAGGGCGCATTGATGATAGCAGTACTTTGATGTTAGTGAAATCTGCAATGTTTGACGTCATAATGCGGTCGAATTCTGGCTTAGCATTGGATAACTTGAAAAGATCTGTACAATTTTTGAGAATGAGCTTTGAATAGATCATATTTCTTCCAAAAAATATTGATGCAGACTTTATAATGCTGGCAATGTATGTATGGAATAAATCAACGATTGAGTTGGGTTGCGATACACTTTTCGCCTGGATGTAATCCCAACCATTGAATGGTAATACATCAGCTCGGATGCAGTAGACGAAGTTATAACATTTTGGTCTTGTTGGAACATGCATACCTTTATCCGCAAACCTTGGGCGTCCAGTTAGGGTAGGGTTATCATATTTTAACTCCCTTCTCTTAAGGACATATTTTGGTAAAAACAATCCTTTTTCAAAGTATTCTTTTGCAGATACGCGATACTCTTTCGGAATCATGTGAATGTAAGTTGATATACCATCGGATGAACCGGGATCTCTGTCAAACATGCTGGATCTCTGAGCAGACAAATGAATGGAATTATGCTTTCCAGTCTCACATTCCATTTCTCTCCACTTTCCCCAAACCTCTTTCATCATTTCAAAATCTTTCTCCTCTACATCCAGAAGATTGTTTGTTTTACCTTTCAGCGTTTCGACAGTGTGTTGTATAAGTTCATTGAGGGCTGACATCAGGAGATGGAAATCTTCATCCGGGAGTTGAATCGAATACCATATATTCGTGATTGAGGCCTCAATATATTTTCTTGAGCTCCGAGTTATCATCATATATAGGAACAGTACACCTCTTGCTAAAACAAATGGATCGATGTCGTTTAGGGTAAACCTGATGTTACCAGTGAAGTTGTTTGGAAGCGATGCTGTTGTTAGCAGAAGATTTCGCAAGTCTCCAACACCAGCGAATAAAATGCTGTAATCTTTTGCAAGTTGAGAAGCAACATTTTTTGAAGACGGTTCAGCTTCATTGAGACCTAGTTTCAGTACATCGGTAGCTAGAGTGTTCCCGAAAAAGTAAGGGAAATCATCAATCGTATGCATTTCATTAAAACTCTGAAGATGGAGTCTGTGAATTTCAGCCAACGTTTTCACTTGTTGGCGAATTTGTTTGCATTCAGCTTTGTGAGTTGGCCAATGTTTGAGTTGACATTCTCGGCTGCAATACGTGATTTCTTTGCATGCAGAACACTAAAAAAAAAAAAAAAAAAAAAAAGGAAAACATTAAAACTTTAGTTAGGCCTATTCCTTTATAATCAGGTTCGAAGAATCCTAATTTAAAAAATTTAATTATTATGGTCATTGTAATGGACAATTCCTCATTATACAACAGCGTATCGTCATTTTCTTAAAGAAAAATTACTATTAAAGAATTGGGAAAATTCCGAATTTTGTTATTGCACATGTCGACTTCTTTATATCATAAGATTTCTATTTTATTCTAACAAATATTTAAATAAAACGTCTTGTTACTAAACTAATAATTCTTACCAATGAGCATTTAAGTTTCTTCATACATCTGGCACACTCTTTGTTTCTATTCCACATGTCGCATTCTACTTGATGTCTGATCTTGTCACGATCGAGACAAATAGTTCCACAATACTCAGCAATATTGCAATGAGTACATTTCTTCTTTGCTTTATTCATCTCACATCGCCAGCAAAATCCTCGTTCTACATCCATCCTAACCTGCTCACAGTACTCAAAGTAGTAAGTCTTTTAGGATCGATATTGTCCACATAGAACCATAGATTATGCTTATTAGCTATCAACAGCATTGCGATAAGCAGATATTTTGGAATTTCCCAAGTGTAAGTTATGTTGACAATAGCCACATGTCTGTTTACTTAAATGATGGTTTATGATTATTTAATTTATTTTCGGTGCGATAACACGTCAGGTAGAGCAAATAATCACTCCTATGATAGTTCCTGACGCAAACTCACATATTAATAGCATTTGTAGTGGTTTTTATCTGGTTAAATAACCTGGAGGTCGTGGGTTCGATTCCCACCCGAACAATTTTTTAAATATCTACTTTGAATATTTTTATAATCTACTTTTTAACATGATTTTTAAAAATAAAACGGATTGTCGTGGGTTTGATTCCCACACGAACCATTTAAAAACAATTTATTATTGGCTAGAATATGGGGACAGGTAGGGCAAATATTTATTTGCCCTACAAATAAATATTTATATTATATATTATAAAAGAAATGCTGAAAACGTTTGCTTACAATCAACAAATAAAGACAACATAAGAAAACAGGTCAGGTGGAAAAATACATATCAAAATATCAAAACTTTCAAATAATTGCATTATAATTGTTAAAAATTAATATCATATTTCAAATATATATATATATATATATATATATATATATATATATACCATATTATTATTATTACTATTATTAAATTTCTAAAACTTCAATTAATTCTTATTAAAAAGGTATTATTATGATACAGGATTAAAATAAAAATAAAAACTAACAGCATCCGGTGAACTAGTAAATTAACCTTAATTATTTGCATTGATCAATTTAACAATAGTAAGTATAGCAGACCTTCTGTATCTTTCAGTTCTACACCTGGGGACATCAAGAGTACTAGTTGTATTAGAGCTAAGGGTTCTCCTCTGCCCGCAGCAAGGAGGCAACATGTCATGAAAGCAGTCAGACTTAAGTAAACCCCTGTCAAAGGACAACACAAGGGTTTCTCTCCTTGCAGCGAGTGACGGTAAACCCGTAACATCTGCGGCATTGTCATAATGTAGGCAGCACCTAACATTATGCGATATGCTCCTTTCTGGATGGTCTCAATTCTATTGGCAATTTTATTGGTAATAGCCCCATGCCATACTTGGCAAGCGTATTCAAAGATGGGCCGGGCCTCATATAGGAAGCATATACAGTGAGTAAGTCATCAAGAACAACATTGGCTTTCTTTAGTATACACAGAACAAACAGTCTTCTGGATGCCCGTGAGACAATATATTGGGTATTAAGGTCCCACTTCAAATTGCATTTGATTTAGACTTGCCACAAGTCTCTAATTTATGGATTTTTCGTAGTACATTAGCGCATTTCAGAAAGCGCCACCAGCGTCAGTTTATGTTGAGAAACTTTTTTGATGAGAATTAGAATCCCAGAAAAAGTATACTATGGAACGCCATGCAAATAAGTAATATGGAACGCCATTTGTGCCAAAATCGATTTATTCTTAAGCATTTCAACTGATGAGACAAAGATTAGGGACTGGAACCCAGTCTACATTTGATTATGACACCAAGAAATTTCATATGTTCTACTACATCAATATTTGTGCTATTTAAATTGAAAATGGGGGACTACATTAACACTGACATCTTTCAAAAAATTTACAATCATTATATGGCACTTAGAAGGCTTCGGAGTCATGTTGTTCTCATTGCACCAATCATTAAGATCATTAAGCATCTCCTGCATTGAAGGTCTTGCTCCTTTATTAACAATCTCTCCCAGAGTGAGGTCGTCTACGTATTTCCACCTTCTGCAGCTTCCGCTTATGCATCACTAATGCGCACCAGGAATAACACAGGACCAAGCTTTGTCCCTTGCGGGACGCCACGATCCTTTTAACTAAAAAAATTCAAAGACTCTAGCAAGTATAGAGTGAGGGATATTGGCCTAAAGTCATTATATGACGTACGAGATGATTTCGTTGACGCTGGCAGCAATACGCTTCTGTACGTATGCCGACAAAATCTTCTTATTCTTGATCCTGATTGAAAGTTCTCGATATCTGTCTTCATTCCTTTCCCCTTTCTCCTAAATTGACTTTTCTTTCTGTTGACCTTGCTACATTTCACTCCAAATTCTATTAACCAGGCGCTTATTGGATTATAACTTTACAAGGATAGCGTTCGTTCATGTTTTATTTTGTTTTTAGCTTAGGGGGCGTGGCGGGTCACTAGGACTTTAGTGGTGGGGTAACGTCTCTACCCCATGATGCATGATAGTTGGGGTATGCGGCTTAATAGCACTTTAGCGGAGTAACGTCCCTACCCTTAGATGCATAGTTTGATTAGGGTTGTGTATGCTTTGCACTTGGACCTTAGTGTGGAGTATGTCACTACCCCCAAGATACATAGTACCGTACTATATTATATTGTTTTTTTGCGAATTAGCTCTTGATAACTTATGCAAAAATAAAAGATTGAATTTAATAATATCTGTTTCTTTAGTTTTAATATTACTGTTCATAAAGAGTCTTTAATATGTATGGCTTGCTACACTAGATCGTCATAGCTGGGGTCTGCGGGCCAACATTTGGCCCGCGGATCAATTTTTTCTGGCCCGAAAGATAAAAAAAAAAACTATTAAAAGAAACTAAAACTTATAAACCTTTAAAAAACTAATAAAATGAGGACCAATATGGAAAACTGAGAAATTTTTAAACCCCACCCAAATTTAGAGTTAAATCTGTTACCAAAAATCGACAAACGCCTAATATTGGTAGCTTGAGTTGAGCTATGGTACTGGTACAAATAGCCATCCTTTTAAGACACTTGGCTGACATTGACTTGACGTTGTCACTACAAACTGTTTTTAAAACTATATAATATATAAAATGAACAGACACCAACACTGTCATTATTATAAAGGAGAGCAATATAATGCAGTAATTTATATAAAGTAGGTTAAAATTAGTGCAGTTAATATCGAGGCGGCAGTTACTTGAGCTTTTGTTGAAGTCATTTCTGATAAAGTTCCATTTATCTAATTGGCTTTTCTTCACAACTCGGTTAAAAACAGATGGAATTCTTCTGCCTCTTCTTCATGACGTAGCAGATTAAAAAGTTAGATCTTAATCATAGACATGTTTATTATGAGTAGACCCGAGATCTTACAGGTGAAGTGTGCTTTTAGGCTGTAAGGGACATTCTTCTGGTTTATCAGGAAAATAGGCCCCCGTAGGCAGCGAGATGCAGAATGTTCGGTCGCACCATCCCCTCCCCTTTCCTCTCAAATTTCAAGAGGCCCACATTTTTCAACCTTACACTTTTTAACTAAAATCGTTTTAAATTGCTAAATGCTATGCATCATTTCATTTGCCATCTAAACCGTTCATATTTAATAAGTCCTACTCTTATAATCCATATTTCAACTTTTTATATACTTATTTTGTAATCGTGCATAATGTCGCCACTGACGTGTCTTAGGAATATTATTATGGGGAAGGGCTGAAGGTAGTGGTGGGGAATCCTGAACTGGGAGGGCTCAATAATTAGTGAGGGGCGCTACGTGGCAAAATTTGGTGATTCCAGGTATCTATGCTTCAAATATTCAGAGAGAAGAGGCTACTGGGAGAGCAATCTTTTTTTTGGGGGGGGGGATGTGCTACCCCTAAATACGCCACTGAATGTCGCAAGCCAAATATTATAGTGAATTATTGTATATATTCGAATATATACAATAATTCACTATAATATATACAAATATGATAGTGAATTATTGTATATATTCGAATAAACCGCTTTGAATAAACGCCTCCTCGAATAAACGCCTCATTTAGAGCCTCATTTCGAATAAACGCCTCCGAGTTTAATTCATTTTTTTCTCTCAAATAACCCCCCCCCCCAAAAAAAAACACACACACACACACCCACCACCACGACCCACATGTTGGTAAACTAATCTGAAGGAGGACACATGATTTTCTACTCTAATCTGTTTAGAGTCAGAGTTAGAGTTGATAGTAATTATGTGTTGAGTTTACAGTGAAATGAAGGAGCGTTTACTTAAGTATATTCTTATTAATTTTAACCAAAAAAAATACAATAATAAACGCATCCCTCGAATAAGCACCCTCTCAAAAATCTTTGTAAACCATAAATGCCAGGGGTGTTTACTCGAATAAATACGGTATGTATATGTCTCGATAATGAGTTCTCATCTTTGTGTTGGGCCCTCGGTCCGTGGTATCCAGAGACGGATTGAAAGGCTTCACCCAAAGAAAATCATCGTGATATATTTTGATTTTTATTAAATTATATTGGAAACATGTTTGCAGTGCCATGATGACTAAGACAATTAAAATTAAAACTAATAACGTATTTAGAAAGGCACTATCCGAAATATGTACTCTTTGTGAAGAGATCCAGGAAGAATATGCAATGGAAGACAAAATTCTTTTTTAAAATGCAAACTTTATTTAGACACAAACTTTCATTCTAAATTCATCTCCTTCCACCAATATCCATGCCACCTACAACATTTCCTTTTCAAATGAAAAATATCAATGTATATATTTTATTAGTTATCTTCAAGTGCCAATTATTACTTTTGCTGTGTCCTTTCAAATTACCATGAGCAGGAGACTTTAGTAAAATGACGAAGTGTAAGAACATCGGCAAACGAATTTAAGTATCTTCGGGAAGTGCAAAAAACATTAATTATT